AAAGTGCGGTGTTTCAGGTTCGATAGGAGATTCGATAGGAGATTCGAGTTTTGCTCGTTGGGGGCAAATAAAACGCTTATTTGATTATTTCCTACTGTTTCAGTGGCCTTGGTCCATAGTAAAGATATCAGATACAGACAGGAGATGGGTGGAGCAAAGTAAGCAGCAACAGCTTGGATATACAGGAATAGCTGACCACCTTGGATCTCTTGAATGACAGGTATCCATAGGATACTAATACCAGTGATGATAGCAACCGTTATTCTATCAAGAAGTGAATTTAGTTATCAGTTAGAGTTAATAGTTGATGGACAYAWGAGCGACTGGAAAGTGCATGAATTAATAAGAGAAATGGATGGTTGAACTGCYAGCGAAGTCAGCTCAATTAGCGAACCAACCAGCCRGAAAGCACCCACCCAYCTAAYCGACACACCAATTCACTAACCAACCGATTCTCCYAAMCASCCAACCAAGCAACCAGCCTACCGACCAACCAACAAACCGAGCGACCAACCAACTAACTACCCATCCATCTAAGCAATCAAGAAWTTAAGAGAACAAATATGCATTACCGTCCAATAATCATGAGTTCTCTAACTGAAGCACGCTTTCTAATGACACGATAAATATCGATGGTAAATAAAGTACTGGCACTGTTGAAAATGGAWGTCAGATCACTCATTAATGCAGCCATCATGACGGCCATCATTAGACCACGAAGTCCTACAAAATACATCAGAAAGCCGGCGTCAGATGAATCGCTATGCCATGTGGGACAGCCCAGGTGATTATATAAGAGTTTGCGCAATAACCATTATTAAGATTACTAAGAAATTCTTCTCAAAATCATAGAGACGTAGTCACCTGTTGGCATAATTTTAATAACAAGTTCTGGATAAGCGATGTTACTGCATCCTGCCTCACTACCACAGATCTTGAGACACTTCTCAGGAACACTGCAAGCCACTCGATCTAAACAACGACAAAAAGAGACACTTCTCAGGAACACTGCAAGCCACTCGATCTAAACAACTACAAAAAGTCGACATCCAGGTATTAGCTCGATGGGAAAACTCAGGAGAAGTGGAAAGACCGAAGTTAGTTGTAGGATGAGAGGATCAGTTATTGAACCTGGTTGCAAGAAGGGATATCCACTGGATAAATCACTGAGGATGATTAGCTATTTTTTTGTAATAATGCACGACCGTACGTTATTATGGGTATTGCTTATTGGTGGAAACTATTCACACATTAAAGGCAGACAATGTAGGGGGGAGACATCAGACATAAATCTCCTTCATCCCATATGTTTTTTCGCCATTTCACCCCCCGGTTAGAGTGTGCACAAGACTCACTGTAGTGAATACTGCAACTGGCGCAAGAAGTGCCATTTAAAACAAACGTTACCTGGAGACAAAACACGACTGATCATTCCTGGGATGACCAGGGTAAAGAGAGGAAGAATCTTAATGTATGATGCAAATATACACCCGCCTTGTGCATGAGACAGACTTTTAGCTGCTAGAACACGTTGGACAATAACCTAAAAAAGCATTAACAATTAAACCATTAAAGATGTTGGTCAATTGTATGGCATAAAAATTGTTAACATTGTATTATCGAGATGAGAAGGAGATTACCTGGTCAGCACACCAATACCAGATAGACGAGAAGGTCTGACCAAAGATAAGTCCAGGCCATGGMACGTCAGAGAGGGGATCTCTCAACATGATGAACGCATCCTTCCTTGGTCTTCCACATGTACTGTTAGAATACAGAGTGTCGTTGGACATGGAGTGCATGTACTTCTCCTTAAGACCGCTGTAACCACCAACTTTAGAAAAACCTTTTGATGGCAAAAAGTGGTAAAAAGAATTACTGGCAATAGACCTAGACATTATTAGTTGAGTAAAATACAAATGGGAAATACATAGTAATATATATATAGTAATTTCAAGATGAGTTGGATAATCTGCGGTCTACCAAATATAGTTGGCTAGATACTTCAGTACGTAAGCAAAATACACAGGTTGTTGAATGTTTGCTTGCTGGGCTTCCTGTGCTTAATACTTAAAATAGTTTACATCAATTAGAGGAGACGAGACGCCGGATTATCAAACGAGTTTCGAGGTTTGTTTGTTTATACTACTGGATCAGTACTAAGCGGAAGGAACCTACCCATTGACATGACTATTAGAGAACCCACAGCCATTAGAATGGTACACAACGTATCRGTATAGATGACGGCAGTTAATCCACCTAGACAGACAGATAGACGGTTAAATGTATGGATAGATATGGCAAATAGATGTAAGCATCCTTACAGATAAACTCAAAATCCCAAATATACGGGTCGAAGCAAACAACATTTTTAGTTTCTCCTAGGAATCATCTCAATTTCAATGAATTCGCGTGTAAAAACAAGAATTAGACTAATTGCATTAGCCGATTGAAACCCTGGCTGACCAACCCTCCGGGTTGACCGGAGAACCATAGTCTGTCTATTGCTACTAGGGCAAAGGGTCGTGAAATGCCGAAGTAATATGGTTTAAATGTTAATTCCCTCGTTATTCCCCGGGGGTTGACCGATATATGCATAAACGCTCTGAATGTCACCAATTTACTCGGCATTTAGTTTCCAATGCTTATTATCTCATTCATACGCTATTCACTGTTATTCGTAGATCTGTATATCTCATATTTTCCTGAAATTACGAATTCAAGAGGTATATCTTGATAAACGCGGGCTATATTTAAAAAGAGTAATTGAATAGAGGCCATTATACTGTGATAGCTGCCCGCGGAAACTGGATGTTTTGAAAAACAAATGCAACTATCACAACATGACACTTATTAGGGTCCTTAGGAAACTAGACCGACAGTGTCACCTCSTGTCTATTTTCTCAATTAATGCCCATGTGGGAAGTAACGTTTCATTACATCGAAGACTTAACAAAAAACGATATTTGATCTTCAAAAGTGTTCAAAAGTTCAAATAGAACGGAAAGAATCCGTGACTCGTTCATAGCGTGGAGAAACTTCTCCAAACACGTACGCCGCAATGCGTGAGCAGTCTAAAGCAAAAACTGTCATATTAAAAATATAGATAACGTTTCTTACCTGTTACAGTACAAAGGAAAGTAATAAATAACATTAGAAGAATAGCGAAGTACAGATCCCATCCTAACGCCAAGCGAACAAACAGTGCTCCAGCGTACAGGTTAACCTACATCATCAAACAATCAAGCATTTCAACATAAGACATTCACTACAATTATAGCCGCAGGCAAATCTCTCCTTGGATAAGCCTTGCGTTGGTAAAGGTATCACTTGCAATATTTTTTTGTAATTGCGTTTTAATTTGCGTACCCATTTTTCGTTTCCGTACGATGGAGAAAAATACAAGGACAGAATCCTTGCAAACGCATCACTTACGGCGATGCTCTAATGTCAAAAGCAGCATAATCTATATAGCGACGGAAATACTTACAGATATCTTAGTGAAGACGTAGAGAAACATCGACAGAGTCGATAGCCACATGCGTATTCTTTGTCCTCCGAACCTCCTATGGATGTACTCCGGAACTGTTGAGATCTATTGGAAAAATAGAGAATTACATGGGCGCACGGAGATACGGATTTTATCTCTCACGAGTGAGCGCAGCGATTTTCAACACAAGAATATAAAATTCGTATCTCCAAGCAACCATGTAATATTTTTTTATCATATAATTATATCTGAAAGCAAATTATTTTCTTACTTCCACTATATAGAGAAACCACGAATGTGTTATTTTCATAAGTGATATTCTTTTTATCATATAATTATATCTGAAAACAAATTATTTTCTTACTTCCACTATATAGAGAAACCACGAATGTGTTATTTTCATAAGTGAAAATAACAACTTTTCAAAGGAATTATAGGYATTTAATAGACAATTGTATGGTAAGTCTTAAAAATTAACTATTTCTTGTGATCACCTTATTTCATTTTCGTAATATCATAATATCATAGCAACAGGCTACTTTAAATAAAATGTAAAACAATACGTACACGAAAATAACAAATAACAACTTTTCGAAAATAACAACTTTTCGAAAGAGAGAAATATAGGTATTTCATAGACATATGATGATGAAAAGAAATATATAATAGAAAAATATTTTAGACGATGAAATAAATAGTGTTTTTAATATGTCTTTCGATTGTGGGCGATGGATTATTTTGAATTATAAGCAATCCCGAGGCTTACCCCTCCTGCTATGTAGACAGGAACTACAATAAAACCGAGAAATGGCAATAATATGTTGGCCTGTGCAATAGAAAACAGAAATAAAATGAATGATTGTAGCCTCCTTCGCAGGCTACTCCAACGGAAACGGACATTTTCCTCTTCTTGGTCTTCCTGTGTTCATAATCTTGACCGAGAAGAACTGGTGTCGAGAGATTAGGAACAACTCCTCCTCCTTCTTTTCCTTCCTTCCTACCCCCCTCCCCCAGCTTTTTTTGCCTTAACACAGGAATCCCACAGAGTAGAGTTGCCTGCGAAGGAAGCTAGAATGATTGTTTGATGAGTTAGCATAATGAGTAGGAACATCAATAAGTCATGTCGCCATGTTTGCTTCGAAAATGATAGTTTGATAGTTCAAACACCTTCTTACAAAAGGTTTTTTAATCACTGTTATTAACCAATTCTGAGGTCGAAGATTGAAGTTGGAGGGTAGGGGGTGGGGGTGGGGGATGGGGGATGGGAGTCATTTCTTGTTGATACAGTCACTCTCTTACGCTAGTGTTATAGGCTGCTACTCCTATTCCCCCAGCAGCTCCAGAGCCAGCCATTCCGATGAAGTGCTCACTTCCAATGTTACTAGCAAATACCGATGCTCCAACCTGTGGAAAACAACGCCGGTTTCATAACATAATTGTCCCTAATATTTTACTCGATCTCAACCAATGATTAATGCTATTAACGCTAACGTTAACGCACGCGAAGAAAAACACTGTCGTGTTTGTACTGTCGCGTGGCTAATAAATTAGGGGCGGATCCAAGGGATGCGCCAGGGAGGTCGGATCGGAGTCCGTTCACGGAAAGTCCTGCTTAAATACACATAGAAATCCATATTCATATGAACTTCAYAATTCAGGCGGAAAAACAGACCAACRCCAAATTTATAGATTAGTAAATAAAATTTCTGGATCTGTCTGCCGTAACCGTACCACAACTWCTTTCTAACATGCGAAAAATGCTCTACTGATGTTGTACTCACAGGTAGCCAAGTCATAAATCGTCCAGCCAAGAAGTATCCAGTGACAGTATTACGGCTGGATTTCACYGTCGCCTATTGCGAACAATACAAACCTTCATTAGCCATGTTAGACAGAATGTGTGTGTATAAAACAGTATAAAACATACAAGATATAACCAACATACAGCTGTTGAACTTAAAGTTTATGTTGAAAATCCGTTTTTAGTTTAAAATATGAGAGAAATAATATTAATGTTTGGTTTTAAATCACTCTGGTTATAATGTTTCGCTCTTTAATTTTCATCTTCAAACTTCGTCCGACGTCCGCAGTCCAAACTTTAAATACATCCGAAGAAAAAGCGTACTCAAAGAAAACCCTGACCCTGTTCCAGAAAAAAATCGTTGAAATCGATACCCTGTTCCAGAGTTTTTTTTGTTTTTTTTTTGTTTTTTTTTATTTGGAGTTCTGCACACAAGGGTACATAAACATTGGTTCCAAATAATGTAAGGAATGTATAGATAAATATGTTTGTTTTTTTACGGGTTACTATTTCCACATTTTGTCATAGTTCGCAAAGCAAAGCATTCATAAATGTACTTTGCTGCTTGTGTTTGTAATCTTTTTGGAGGATCTATTGAGAGTAAAATCAGAGTAAAATCGTAAAATCACTAAAAACGCCCGGGGGGGTACTCCCATATATTTGCTATACGGGGAGGTGCCGCTGGCCAGGGTATGGTTTTTGGCCTTGCTGTCTTAAACAGGGTATACATTTCACCCGAAATTGTCTTAAATAGGCTCTACAATTTAGATAAAAGACCGATACATTTTCTGTGTGTGTCTTAGACAGGGTAATATTTTCATAAGAAATACCCTAGAAATAATAGAAATACCGTTTCACTGTCCCAGGATTAACGTGTTATCAAAAACTTCTTATTTTCTTTGATGGATGTCAGTATAATTGCACTTTTGATGGTTGCGGCGCAGATTGCTATTCCTTATTTTTCCGATTTGTCTAGAACAGGGTATGGATTTTCACTTTCTAGTGTCTTAAACAGGGTCAGGGATTTAGACCGCTGGCGGCACGTACCTATNTAAGCCGTTAACTTTAACGGCCGATTTTGGTCGTTCGGTATAATGTAATAATATTATTATACTATCATCTTTACCTAACAAGTTAATGGCTTAAAATATTTTGTTATATATATCAAGATAATCACTTATTTAGCCGTTATATATAGTCCCTTAGTGATTTGTGCAAAACGCGCAAAACTGAATAGTGCAAAACTAATGATAGATTATGTTAATACTCTATTTATGGTTATCAAAACTATTTAGTACCATAGTAATATTTGTTGGATGMATTTAGTGAGTTCACTCTAGATATCATTGCCTAAGCGTAAAACATCTACATAACAACGACTGCATGTCAGAAGAATTTTTTAAGATGGAATTACAAGGTCCTAAGTTTATCTTTGTTTACTATTTTGCAAATAATATGAAAGAGACTACAAATTACACTCTGTCTTATGTCCTATTCTAGATCTTTATGTTCCTATTAAATCTCAATATGCCTGAGTCACATGCAGTCCTCGACTRCGTATTTTTTTAATCTCTTGAATGTAAAAACGGCCCTAAATCGAGAAAACTGAGCTGGCATCAGAGGGTTAAGTBTAATATAAAACTTGGTGAAAAAGATAACTTTAGCTTTAAAACTATAATCTCGCACGTAAATAATTCGTTTTGAGATCATCACGAGCCATAACGGTTATACAAGAAAAAGCATATWAACRTAACTTACATAAATACCAATRCCCAGTATAACTACTAAATAGAACACAACCACCACGATATCCCATGTTTCTAACCCTCTTGGTCGATATTCAGCCTCCATTAGTAGCGTCTGCTTCCACAGAATAACCAAAATACGTCCGGCAGGTTATATAGTTGAGTTGTCTTGAAGGGTTAAGAAGGATAATTATCACATCTAGTCGTCAAGCAACGTTTTTCTAGTTGCAGCTACCATAATAATGACGTCACATCTTCAGCTGTTTATCACTCTGTCATGCGCAGTCATAGTTCATGCACAAAATACTGAGTGCAAAGAGACTAGTTAAAATTAAGTGCGTTCACCAACTTTGCTCAAAAATTAATTCATTTTGGAATAAAGCAAAAAAAAATTGTTTTGATACTGACTTTTGGTTTTAGTTTTCTGACTACCAAACATTAGTGGCTAAAGTTAATGTTTTCAAATATGCTGCAGTGTCATACTAGTTAACGCCCTGTTCATCTTACATACCACACCCAACTATCCCCTGGCATTAAGTTGTTATTGTCATGATCGTCACAGAAAGCTAACTGACCATAAAAACTAACAGTGCGGCCACTAGGGGAGTGGTTTAGAATTCTGTTATAAAGACGATGTTTGCCTTTGTGTGAATCCATTTTTCCCCATTGATTAAGATAGCTTCCTTTGCTTGTTGTGTAGCCCAACTTATTGCAATCCTTAGAAAGGATAGATGTATCATCAGGCATTGTGATGTACGAATTG